TTCCAGTTTCTTGACATTCTCCCCAAAACTCTTTTTCTTTAAAAAAAAGCCATTCTAACAGATGTAAGGTGATATCTCACATTGGTTTTGATTTTTATTTCCCTAACAATTAGGGATGTCCAGCACTTTTTCTTACACTTGTTAGCTATAAGTATGCATTTTTTGGACAAAGGTGTATTCAAGTTCTTTGCACATTTTAAAATCAGGTGATTCTTTTCTTTTTTCAATTGAATTGTATGAGTTCTTTATATATTTTGGGTATTAATCTCTTATCAGATAGATGCTTTAAAAATATTTTCTCTCATTCTGTAGATTGCTTTTTTCACTCTGCTGATTGTTTCTTTTACTATGCAGAGGTTTTTCACCCAGTTTAGTCCCACTTGTCTATTTTTGGTGTTGTTGCCTGTGCTCTTGGTATCATAACCAAAAATCACAGCAAAGATTGATGTCTAGAAGCTTTTCTCTGCATGTTCTTCTGGAGTTTTACAGTTTACAGTCTTAGGTTTAAGTCTTTAATCCATTTTAAGTTAAGCTCAGTTTCTTTTTTTTTTTGGCATGTGGATATCTAGTTTCCCCAGTAGCATTTGTTGAACAGGCTATTCCTTCCTCATTGTATATGTTTGGCACCCTTATCAAAGATCAGTTGCTGTACATACCTGGTTTTATTTTTAGACTCTATTCTGTTCCATTGGTCTATAAATCTGTCTTTATGGCAGTATCATACTGTTTTAATGTATGATAGTTTTAATTTATGATATATTACAAAGCACTGTAGCTTTGTAATATATTTTGAAATCAGGATGTGTGATAACTCCAGCTTTGTTCTTCATTCTCAAGAGTGCTTTGACTATGTGTGGTCTTTTGTTCTTTAATATAAACTTTAGGATTACCCTCCTCCACCTGTTTCCAGCCCCCATCACTACACTGTTGTCCACATTCATGAGTTTTCACTCTCTCCTTTTATTTCTTTTTTGCTCGATCTCTCCATTCCTGACAACTACAAAGTCTCAGAAAGTCTCAGGAGCTATGTCTGACCCACATGAAGTGCAGGAAGAAAGAGCCTGCACCAGGACTGGAAGGGGATCACCAGACAGGCACAGACAGAGCTGGGCCAGGAGAACTTGCAGGGCCTGTGAGGAGGGGAGGCCACAGTGCATTCTAGATAAAGGCAGGGTCAATAAAAAGCCTGGCCTAACAAAACAGACCATTGGAGTTGAGAGTCAGGAATATTAGAAGGAACTCTAAGGACTGAGGAACCACGTGGCTATAAGCCCAGGAAGCACTCTCACTTTGCTCCCCTGAAGGAGACAGCCAACAGATTGGTCTCACTCTGGAGGTGTTTCCTCTTTAATTCATCCTTTTTGCCATTAGAGTAGCCTCGTGTGTGTGTGTGTGTGTGTGTGTGTGTGTGTGTGTGTGTGTTTAAAAGTAAATGTTCATTTTGTTAGATGATAAAAGAGGAATCATGCTTTCTGTAGAAATCTAGAAAATACATTGAAGAGAAATACAAATAACCAGCAGCTATTCATGGCTATGTTAAATTTAGGGGCTATTGTTCTCTTTCAATTTGTACTTTTATAGAGTTGTGATTATAAGATGGATGCAATATTTTATCTTTTACATAAGCAGTAATTTTTATTTCTGGGAAACACCATAGAAACTTACTTTAAGTCTTAACCAATTTTCCTCCAGGAACCTAATGCAAAGCAATAAGGAACATGAGACATTCACACACACACACACACACACACACACACACACACACACTACACCTGCAGCTGTGATGAGGCCACAAGGCCATGGAGAGCAGTTATGATAGGACAAAGGGCCTCAGTAATGGCAGTTCTCAGAAATCACTGTGAATACTCAAGTCCCAGTTAACACCTATGAATAGGACAAAGATAGAACCAGAGGTGTCTGTGAGGCACTGTAATTACTCAGGCACCCTAGAGTGTCAGATCGCAGTAGCAGCATCTCAGCAAGGTGAATGGAACATTTCGGGATGCAGAGGTGGGTCTCATGATCACACCGGCCAGTGGAGATATGGAGCAGGGGTTGGGGATTGGGGGATGCGGACTGAGGGCTGGTTTCAGACCCTTCCTGAACACATCAGATATTGAGTCTAGGTCATATGGCTACATAGTTCTTCACTGCGGCAACAGAAGAGGGAGTCCTTGAGCAGGCAGACCTGGAAAACTACCCACCATGTTCTTCTTCACCTCTACTCCACAGAAACCTCCTGTTAAAAGGTGGTCTAGTAAAATCCAGTTTTGCCAATATATGAGACACAAGTGTAGAAACCATAAGGCATTATAGAAAATATTTTGAAAAAGTACACTAGAAATCTGTTCTTACAAAAACACACAGGAGACAAATGTCGCAGCAAAGAAGATAAAGGAATAACCATTTGAACATGAATATTAACATTTTCATGGAACAATGGACACTATGAAGAAAGAAAGACCTGCTGGCAGGTGATGGCATATAGTACCAACAACAACAACAGGTTAGGGGGAAATGACCAGAAAGTAGAAGTGAAACAGAAATTGGTAGAATTCAGGATCAAAATAGAAAAAGAAAAATAGGAAAAGAAAGAAAGAAAGAAAAACAGACAAAATCATTTCAGAAATAAAGACAAGATGGCAAATGACACAAAAGAGGACAGAAATAACAGAAAACATGTAAGGAATATTGGTGATAGAAATTTTATTGAAAAAACACAGAAATATGTTAAATACAAAAATTATTTTTAAAAGATTGTGGAGAAATGATAGAGAAGACAGGCAAAATAAATCTAGCATATACATAATCAGAATATTCAAAGAGGTAAAAAGGAAGAATAAACCTTTTCAAATATAATTCAAAACATCTGTTCTTCAGTACAAGGAGATGTCACTCCATATTTTGAACAAGTACATCATGTGAGATAGTGAGACACAGCCTAGTAAAATTATTGCACTTTCAAAATGAATGAGGAATCTTGGTTAGCCAGACAAAAAGTTTAAGTCACTGTAAGGGAGAGAAAATCAGGCTTTTCCACAGCAACAGTCAATGGCAGAAGACAATGGAATATCACACACAAGGTATCTCAGGGTCAGAAGTGTGAACCAAGAAATCTGATCCATCCCAGCTGTCTTTCAACTAGAAAGACAATACACAAAGAGTTTTAAACTTCCAAGAGCCCAGAGATTTTGCCTTGAGGAACTCTTCATGAGGAAATAATTGGATGACCATGAGCCCATGATATTGGGAAGCTTCAGCAAATGGACTGGGGTGAGCTAAACTCATTATATTGAAGAGATAATCAAAGTTTAGTGGAATAAAGACAAAAGATTTTGTAAAATAGTATAACCAACCTAGGACCACCATCATCATATCATAAAAATAAATGCAAACCAACTCACCTGAAAAATAAGTTAATAGTTTAGATTGGTTCACAATTTATGAAAAATTCAGCTCTATATTGTATTTAGGAGATAAACCTAAAGCCAAGTAATTCTGAAAGTGAAAAATAAAAGGCTAGATAATTGTACACCAAGTAAGCATAAACAATAAACAAGTAAGGGTTATCTAACTATTAGACAAACTATAATTCAAGCTTCAATGTGTTTAAAAGTCAAAGACTTTATTTTGCTAAAAGAAGTAATTGACATCAAAATACAATAATTATATGCATTAAGTGGTATAATGGAAACTTTTTTTAGACAGAAATTAAACATCAGGAGAAATGCAGAAGCATACTAAAAATAGGATGAAGATCTGGGGCATGGGTTGGGATGGGGGAAAAGGCAGAAAACTGTACTTGAACAACAACAAAAAAAGTAGGATGAAGAGGATCTAAACATTAATAAGGTAGAATATATATACATAAAGCATATATATATAGAATATTTAATGCATTTTCTGACAATTGATAATATACCTAATTTTCAAATGTTCATGAACATTCATAAAAAATGACCATTATAAGTCCATAAAGACTATCTTCAAAAAATCCTACAGAATATAGATAACATTCTCTGATTACAGTGAAAGGACTCAGAGATTATTTAGAAAATAGGCAAGCTAAAAGACTCCTTCATTAGTTAAGTTAAAAAAAATCTGTGCTTTCAATTCATATAACTGAAGCCCAAATACAGAATAGAATGGGAAGGGAACTAGAGATTTTCTCATTAAATTCAGAAAAAAAGCCAAATGATGTCCACCATCTTCAATTCCTTTTAATATTGTATTTAGGATATTAGACAATGAAATTAAACAAGAGAAAGCAATTACAAGCATAGGAATTTGAAGAAATGAGATAAAATTAACTCTGCAAATGATATAGTGATATATCTAGAAAATCCTAAAAAGGCCATGGAAATACTATAAACAGTAAGAGGAGTTAGCAAAATAGCAGGTTATGAAATCAATATAAAAATGAACAGCTTTCAGGCAAAGAAAAACAAGACAGAAACTACAAAAAGTAAAAAATCCCTTTATGATAGGAAAAAATACACAGGTATAAACTCAATAATATATCCAAAACCTCTATGGGGAAATCTATAAACACATTCTTGAAAGACACAAAGGTACACATGAACAAGGGGAAAGACATAACATAGAATAGGAAGACAATGTTATGAAGAGATCAGTGCTCTCTAATTTATAATTTAATACAGTTCCAATTCTAATAAAGAAATGCACATAAACCAACAATAGGATGACCTTTTCAGCCATCCAACTGGCAAAACTTGAAAATGAATGATAAGTGTAGATCAGGATAGGGAAAATATTATTCTCTTAGACTAATTTTTTTGTTTAGTTTTTACTTCATAATCATAAACTTAACTCTGCAAACCAGCTAGACTTAGAAGGGGTAGGAAAAACATGGAACCCAATGAACTGCTGCAAGAGCACAAAGATTATAGAACATTCTAAACAGATGGGGGTGAAGGGGTGCTCTCCTGAGCTACAGAAGGAATGGTCTGGTGGTTCAGATAAAACACAAGTCAAATGTGTTACAGTTGTCCACAGTCAGTAATGGTGATCTTCTTGCTGGTTTTGCCACTCCTGAACCCACAGTGCTCCATGGCTGTCACAGCAACATCCATGTGGTCTTTCACCTGGCAGAAGACCACATGCTTGCCGTCCAGCCACTCGGTCTTGGCAGTGCAGATGAAAAACTGGGAACCGTTTGTGTTGGGTCCAGCATTTGCCATGGACAAGATGCCAGGATCTGTGTGCTTCAGGACAAAATTCTCATCATCAAATTTCTCCATGTAGATGGATTTGCCACCTGTGCCATTGTGGCGTGTGAAGTCACCAACCTGGCACATAAGTCCCGGCATAATTCTGTGAAAGCAGGAGCCTTTATAACCAAATCCTTTCTCCCCAGTGCTCAGAGCATGGAAGTTTTCTGCTGTCTTTGGAACTTTGTCTGCAAACTGTTCGAAGGAGACAAGGCCCAAAATTTCGCTGTCAGCAGCAATGTCAAAAATCATGTGGGGTTGACCATGGCTGGGCACAGGAAGGTCTGAGGGGGCAGCAGCATCTGCAAGACCTCTCTTAGACTCTTTGTGGGAGTATAAATTGGGATGATCATTTAGTAGTCAAGTGCATATTCAATTAAAAATAAAAGTTAATAGTCTATGTCCCAATAGTTTCATTGGTGTTATCCTGCCTAGAAACATATTTGCACATGTACCCATGGACTTCTATTTATATGAACATTTAGTAAAAATCTTATAGGGATAGAGGATGCATAAATAAACAATGGTACTAAATGTCATGTTTTGGGAAAATAAGAGAAGGAAAGAGCGAAGGAGTGGGGAGAAGGGTATGGTGGACAAGGCCAAAGCTATGACTTCTAATAAGTAAGCCAACCATCCTCCTCTATGATAGCACCCTCGGATGATGGTGATTCACGTGAGCATGCCAAGTAGTCACTGGCTCTCATGAGGGTTCAGAAAATGATCCAGAAATTCAGCATCAGTCATTGTCATTATGTTAACATCAGCATCATCTTCATTATCACTAACACAAACAGCATCCAAGGCAGTAGGAAGCTATCTAGTGATGTCTTCCTAAAATTCATACTTTAACTGAACATATATTTTTTTACCAAGCATGTGACGTAAGACAGACCTTGGTTGTGAACATGGAGCTTTTAGTTGATCTGTGCCTGCCTGCATTTGTTATAAAAGTGACAATATGGAGAAATCAGTGCAACTGAAAGAATTTACTACTTCCATTTCCTGAATAAGAGGCATGCCATGCCACAAAGGGACACTTGGGGAAGCACCAGGTTTTGCAGGCAGCCGTAGGAATGGGGGGAAAACATAGGCCACTGTCTTTACTGTGTTTTCCATGGGAAAGGAAAGACAGAATGGCTTTATCTATTGGCTAGTTTGAATAACTTCATTGGGCTTTGGAAACAGCAGATGTGCCTAGTTGCTTGGGACCTGGCCTTGGGTTGATTTAAGGGCAGGGAAAATATTGGCTTGGTGCATGAGAGTTAGATTAGGAGGTGGAGTATGGATTTCAGATTGGTTAGTTTGTATGTGATGACAGGCAGGCTCACCAACAAGCTATTTTACTGTCTCTAGGAATTGCCTATCCCAGAAAAAGCAGTTTTTTCCTAGCCACCAGGGATTCCTAAAGACGTCACATTATAAAACACAGGTAATAAAAAATGTGATTATTATGGTAGTTTACTGGGAAAGACAGACAATTAAACAAGTGGTTATAGTATAAACTATGATATGACTATATATAGTTATGTTATAGTATATGATGTTATGTTATGTTATAGTATATGTATAGCTTTGTTATGGGGAAACAAATGGGAACCTAAGTTATCCTAGGTTTCAGGAAAAATGTCAAAAAGCATTGGCTACCAAAGGTGTACACATTTCTAAATTTCTTCCCTAAGTAAGAATCATCTTGTTGAACCTCCCTCTTCTAGTTTGGGGCTCCTTCGCTACTCTTGTAATGAGAATAGTTCTCATTTCACCTTTCACAGTCTTGATTCATTCTTTCAGGTTCATTTATTTTTATAATCAGTGTGTGTGAGCATGTGAGTGTGCATGTGCCCCCCAACATATGACATTCCTGTGTCAGATTGTCTTAGAAACTGTCTTAAAGTGTTAGTAATAGAGATCTAGTGGTTTAATAAAGACAAAGATTTACTGATTTTTCTCCAAAATATAAAATTTGAAGGTAAGCATTCAGGGCAGGCAAAGCGCCCTGTGATGTCATCAGTAACTCTAGCTCCTTCTCTTTTTGTCTCTCCATTCTTGGTACTGGCTAATGCATGAGGCAATATGGCTGGCTGAGGTTCAACTATTACATGTCTCTTTTAAGGAGGAAGAAATAAGGGAACAGGACAGGTCCTTGTTAAAAGCCTTCCCAAAGATTCACTCAATGATTTCTACTTTGTCTCATTAGTTATTCCTATAGACAAAGGGATCTGTAATATATAGTTGTTTAGCTGAGCATGTTGCTAACCCAGAAATAAGGTTTCTGTATGTCAGAGAAAAAAGTTATTATGTTTGAAAATAATAATTCCATTTGTGTATATATGTATGTATGAAATGCTTTTAGATTAATACCCAATGGACATTTCTAATTCCCTATTAAATATTCATTTTCTTTTCATCATAATCCTTTGAAAAAGGTAGTATAATCTCCATTTTAGTGGTGCAGAAACTGAGGAACAGAGAAGTTAAGTAACTAAGTCAAAGCCACATAACTGCTATATCGTAGGGAAGCAAACTCAAACAGTCTTGCTCCAAAGTCCAGGCATCTAATCACTATTTTCTTCTGCCACTTTCTCTTCTAGAAAAGATGGTTGGATTCCCCAGAACTGCAGCCCACCAGCTCTGCTCCAGGACACTTGGAAGGGTGACTTCCAATATAAAAATCCACACACTTGTACCCACTGTGCCACCTCCCTGGACTCTAACAACAGCAAAAGCCAGGGGCTCTGAGGTGAATCTGAGGGGCAGGGCAAGTAGGCATGCAACCAGGCTGGGATTCTCAGGTAGCAATTATAAAAGGCTGATAAACCCTGGCATTTCAGCATGCTCTGTTGCTCCCAGAGGCAGACACCTTGAGCTGGTTTAATCAGTGAGGGAAAACTGTGATAGTGGAGATCTCCAGGTTACTGCTTTCTTCACCCCCACCCCCACCCCAACCCCATGGCCAGTCAGCAGTGCAGGCGGCAGAGCCCTGATCAACCCTTTAGGGGAAAGGAAACATCATTCAGAGAATCAGGCTAAAGGTGAGTAGCAGACCAGGAGGAAAGACAGGAACTGAAGGGGAAGGGACCCATCCTTTCTGAAGTTCCAGGGGTCTAAACTTGACTTTCTTTAGCCTTTTTCTGTCTTACTGCAGTATTTCATAGTCTGGGCCACTTCAACTCAAAGACTAAATGTCCTCATTTAGCCAGCAGGGATATGGTATTGTCAATTATCTAATGGTAGTTTTGAGCCTTAATCTAACACTCCACTCAGAGAAAGACTCTTTTCTCATGATATAATATTTTGTCCCTGCACAACTATACATCTGTTTTGTGTCCTCAGATGAGCCTGCTCAGAACTGCAGTCACATTGCTAGGTGATAGTAGATGACAGGATCACAGTCATCTGAGCAACAGAACCTGACCCCAGCAGAAGGCAGCTGGAGATCCCAAGGCCTCAGGACAGTGGATGAAAGACTGTAGTAGAGACAGAACAAGGTGGATGTCAGGAAAGACCCAGTACCTACTCCACTTGTGTGACATTACTGCCACCTGCCCCTCCAGGGCCACCAGTCTCATTACAGCCCAGGCCTGGGTCTCATAACAGGTGTTACTAGAACTGGTTGGCTCCTCACCCACTCTGGCTGTCCTGATACCTGTCCACTCATTTGCATTTGGTCTTTAGCTGGGTGAGTGTTTAGGGAGCCCAGGGAAGGCTCTGAGCAGGGTGAAGGTAGAGCTGGTGAGCTGTTAGAGGAAGAATGAGTGGAGGAGTCAGGCAACCCTGAAAAGGGTGATAGTTAAAGAAATATGCAGAATAGATTGTTTTATTTGGATCTGAAATAAAACTCACTTTTTGATAGAGGAATGTAGAAGTGTGATGTTTCTAGGTGACATTTGTCAAGAGCCTTCTCTGGGGCTGGTTCTGTTACCTGATGAGTGAGAACAGCTGTACCAGAGTCTATGTCAGCTTAGCCCTGGGGCCTGGCTTCCTAAAGCTTAGTCTCTGGGTACTCTCTTACACTGGGTGCCAGCTTCCCATGGGATTATGGAAAGACTGACACCACTTCCACTCTGGAAATGAAATACCATTTTTTTAGCCCATAGGTCAACATGAAGCTTATTAAACCTACAGGATGAATTCTTATATATTTGTAAGGTTAACTCATCACTTCCATGTGGACAGATGCACCAGTGATATGGTACTAATACTACTTTATGTTTAATGTACATAAAATATTTTTATTCCTTCTGAACTCTGTTGAACTTCTGCTAAGATGTACTGACAGCAGAACCAGCAGCAGTACCAACCCCTTCCTAAATGCCCCCGAAATGCCCTCCAAATTGCTTACCCCAATGCCCAGCCCCATGTTCTCCTCTAGTCTCCTCCTGCTATGGCCCCAGCTCCTGGATGGTGCCTGCTGCCTGAGTCACCTCAGGCCCCTGGCTTTGGCCCCAGAGTCCTGGCTTTACTAAGAGCCCTTACGGCGGGATCTCTTGCTGCTGCCATTGCTTTGGGAGCCACTGCTGAGCTGGGCCCTAAGGACCACTGAGCAGCAACAAAGGAAGAACCAAGTACCAAATAATCATGGCCCTGCCCCTGCCTGATGGTTTTTACCATCCCCTGCAATTTTGTTCTGTACCACCTTGGGTTCATGTTTTATGCAGACTCAGTATTGCCCTTGCTCTTATGAACCCCATTGAATAATAAAGTTCAAATTCTGTGGTCACATTGTATTTTATTTCACTGTATTTAAGTTCCTTCTCAGAGCTGAAGTCCTTAGAATCTACTTATAATGAGACCTTTAATTTAGTGGACCTCTTCCATTGTGATATGAGGCAAATGCAAAATCAGCTCCATCTTTAATTCAGAGTTGCTCCAGTGAAAGTGTGATGGAGACCCGTCTGTTAAGGCAGGGGATACAAGTGATGGATGGGTAGACTCAGACACATAGGAGAAGAACAGAACCTCCACAAGTCTCCTAGAAATGACCTCCTAGATCATGACCATTCCCAATGAAGATAACTATAGGCTTACAATACACTTATTTAATCAACATTTTATTATTCTGTATTTGTTTCTAGATTTTGTGCTTATGATTATAATAACACAAATATTAACATTTTAAATTTTGGAATTTTTGTTTAAGTTTTAGAACATTATCTAAAATTCAATTTCTATATTTAAAATTGTTTATAAAACTGATGCAACAAAGATATATGAGGGTAGTCTTAATGCATCTAATCCAGAATTGGGTAGTA